CCCAAAAATCTAGTATGACAGAGATATTAAGTCACCTTTCAGACAAATCGTTGGTATATACAAAAACAATATTAATTTGAGTATTCATCCTAGTGTCGCTTTCATATCTGGTGGAGAAGAAAAGCAACCTATTGACGTGGGAGGACCGTCTAGAGAATTCTTGCACCTGGTGTTTGATACATTTAAATGCAACTGTGAAGAGAATTTGTTTGAAGGGTAGAATGAACACCTACTACCACTAACTAAACAGTTTCTGATTAGCCAAGAATTGTTTGATAGATAGAATATAGAATATATTGTAACTGGTCACATCACATCTGCTGGTACTTATGTGACACTTGATGATGCTGCTGTTACTTTGCGGAAGGTTAGTTCTGAACAAAAATGTTACATTTACAAGTGCCCCTTCCACCTACTACGTTTGATGGAATTGTTAATTGGTCTGATTATGCATTCTTGTATTTTGAGTTTGCTCCATTCATCCATCAAGAGTCATTTACTCATGTGTCTAAAATCCAAGCAACAATACCCAACTATAAGCCAAACAATCAATGTCAAAGGGCAATATTTACAAATCAGAGAACACACAGGGGACACACAAACAAAACAAACAACACACAACAACACAACAAATAGGTGAGAGAGATACATGGACCTCAAGGCATAAGCCAAGAGGTGATGTCAGGTATTTCGAAAAGAGTGAGCACATCCAGCGCTTCTATTACCATCTGTTTCATAGAAACATGATAATTGACCACCAGCTGATGATACTTGCCATAGAACTGTTAAAATGATAAGATTAGTCTTTCTCTTATAAACCCTTGACTTAATAGACGATGTCGTTGTAAAAAATCAGAATACATACTACATGCTCTGCCATAACGGATAAGCTGAGAGATGTAAATGCCATAAGCGGAGAAAACAAGTATATTGTTGTTAAGGTTTGGAAAATTGATGATAGTGAAATTGAAATCATCTCTTTTGTCATTAAATATGGTAGACAGATGACCATTGTTGTCAAATTCGAGGTAAATATCAAGGTATAAGGCCGAGGAAGCTGATTCTGTAGTTTCTTTAATGTCTAGTTCTGTGGGATTTATCAATGGGAGCGAAACAAAAAAGTTAGGATTAGTGAAGGGAAGTGGGTATCAAATGCTTCACATTTTGGTTTCACTCAAATGAACCTAGCATGTCTTGTCGCTTGATTGTTCAGTTTTGATGATATTTAAACTCCCATTAATCGCCATTTATTTATAGTTCAGAAGTCATGCCTAGAAAACCAATATTAACTGGGACTATGCTATTTATAATTACTTGTCTTGTTTTTATACTTTTTAAGGTCCTTGATGCAATTGCATCTGAACTGTGTGACGTGCTAGTATTTTCCGGTGCATCAAATTACAACATCACTGAAGCAAACAAAGGAGTATTGGTGTTTGAATTGATCCAACATCATGTGATAATAAGTCGAAAAATACAGATGGACCAGATGAGAAGGGGTATTGATTCGTTAGGCCTTCTCCATGTTATTTCAAAGGAACACAGCATAGCTTCACTGGTATTTCCTTCACTGAAAGATATAGAATACAATGTACTAAGGGGGAAGAAGTGCATGGAGATGAAGATACTTTAGCAGAAAATAATCAAATGCACTCATTTTCTTCCATACCTACTTAGAGGAAAGTGTAAAATCAAAGGTATGTTTGGTTTATACTCAATTTTTCTTGTTTAAAACAATACATGTGACAAGCATGATGTGATTCCATTCAGGATCAAATGCCTTTATTACACATAGACTTGATGGTACGTTCTTGGCCATACTGATTTTCAGAGCAACCAAGATCCTGAATATTTTTATGTATTTTAATTGATGAAGACCCTACATAATGATTATGATAGCAACATTTAACTACATATACTAGAATCACATGATTAGTAGATGAGAACCTGTGTGGAGGTCACTTTTTCAGACAACCTTTTTTCCGTGAATAGATATAATACCCTGGTTTAGGTTTTATTTATTGCAGAGTCAACTCCGTCTATTTGTCAGGGTTTACAATTCATAAATGGCTACAGAAGTGTTCCAATGAAGATATCTGTTAAGTTTTCCAGAGTCAATAGCATGAAATTACCAGACCCAGGTGTGTGTACTGAGGAGGTAATTTTACCTGTTGTACATGTTTTGTACAAAGAATTTCAACAAGCATTTGACACTACAGTATCATGTCAAGGCACTGGATTTGGTCCTTACTAGATGTGTAATTTTCAATGTATCGAAAAAGATGTTTATAGTATTGAAATGTTTTTGTAAATCAAGGAGTAATGCTAGGATGTTATAATTGTTTCCTGTTTTGTGGAATTAATTGAAAAATGCATTATTGGGTGATTAATCACAAAGGCAAATAACGTCACTGTAACATGTAGTTTATGTGAATTTGCATTAAATACATTATCTCGCCGAATGAGACCCCTGGAGTTGGCTTGATCATTCAAATTTAACCTTATGTACAATATGTTGAGACAAAGTACATGTACGTTTTGTATGTAATTGCAAATTATTTGATATTATTTAGCAATAGTTTATATAGGAAGAGCCAAAATCAGTTTTCACTTTTATTGATATCTACATAATTTCCTCTTAACGGACTGTTACTGTGTTCAAAATTGTATAATGTTGTATTTAGCTGTTTAGTAGGATGTTTCAAGAAGGAATTATATGTTAAAGATCCAGCAACCTCAAGATGAATTGCTTTTACAGCAAGGCATGTAAAAAAAACTCCATATCGCTTCACATTGCTTCTCTTCACTTTTACTTCAATAGGCCCAAAATAGTCTACACCAACCCTTGTGAATGGCGGCTCATCAAACCTGAGACTGGCTGGTCAGCCATCTTCTGAACACCTACTTTGGCTCTTTGTCGATTACAGGTTACACAATCACTGATCATCCTCCTTGTTGCAGAATTAGCGTTAAGAATCCAGTACTTCTCGCGCTGCAGGAAAGAATGTAGGATTCACCAAAGTGCATGCTTCATTCATGGATATCTCGCAGTATGAGCTTAGGGTGCTTAGCATCTTTATGGATCTTCATGGATGATTGCCAAGTTCAGACGACCTCCAACACGTAATAATCTATCTGCTCCCATAACTGGGTCCAATCTATAAATACTGCTGTTTCTCTTAATCCTCCTTCAATATCCTTTGGAAAGGGTTCTCTCTGAACAAAACCAACAATAGCAATTTCGGCTTCATGAAGGTCTTGAACTGTCAGTTCATTGGCTAATATATTCTCAAATTCATCAGTACTACTTCCTTTGTGTTATCGTTTAAGTAGTAGCTTCTTCAGCTTCAATAACCATGCTAGTGCCTTTTTTAACCTATGCCAGTCAGAGTAGTGCTCGATCAACTTATTAGTGGGGTATATAGTCTTGGTTGTAGATACTACATGCACTGCTGCATTATGTCTTACCTCTTCTTGATCCAAACGAGTATCACTAATTGCATTTGGCCATTTATCTTGTGTGTTCCATAGGTATTCAGGACCATTTAACCACCGTTGATTCTTGAGAAATGAAGCAATCATCGTTCCTCTTGAACAAACATCAGCTGGATTCTCTTTGGTACCAAAATATGCCCACTGATCCTCCATGAATCACAGCTATATGGTTAGCTACAATGGTATGAAACCGTGTTGTTTCATTACCTATGTACTGTAGTGTCGTCGGTCCAAAAGTAGGACTTTCCAACTGTCCAATTAATTTTCTGTTTCAGTAGTCTGTCCCCGCAAATTGCTACAGTGGCTGCAGTTAACTCCATATGAGGTATTGAAAGGGGTGCAACTCTTGCCTTCGCCATTACGAACGCACAATGTATTCGACCATCTTTATTCACCATTCTGACATAGGATACTATGCCATATCCAAACTCGCTAGGATCAGATAAGTGATGTAATTTAAAGGTTTCAGGTTCACCAAAGTCTTCTGGTTTCACACATCTGTTAACCGCAAAGTTTTCTTCCAATTTGGGTAAGTCATTTAAACAACTCTCTCACTATTTGCGCTGCTTGAAAGGAATATCTTCATCCCAATCCAGTTTAGCTTAACACAAACTCTGTAACACCATCTTGGGCAGAAGAATTGCAGGTGATGCCAAACCCAATGGATCATAAACAGCACTTATGACTGCTAAGATGCCTCTTCTGGTTGCAGGTTTCTGCTTAATTCTGTTTCGAAACCCCAAAGTGTGTCTGACTCCACATTCCATTGTATATCTAGTGCATACTCCATCGGCAGGCTATCTTGCTTCAAGTCTAAGTTCTTTAACTTCTTGGCTCTTTCTTTATTAAACCCTTAGCCAATACATTTCCATCTTCTATTCTTGGTACTGACTTTAGCATGTCATCAACATAGAAGTTGCTACGTATTGTATTCCTAACATTGTAATCATGGCTACCATCAGCTGATTTCTTCAAGGCATGATTGGCACAACTGGGGGAGGATGTGTACTTTCATACGGTACTCATTCGGAGGTGCATCAATGTTACCATTAGGCCACCACAGGAAACGCTGATAATTTCTGTCTTCTTTGGGCACTCTAAGCCTCTGCACCAGACATCCATACCACCACACTTGTCACAAGTCAGCTTGTCTTTACAGTCTTTGACAAGAGTTTTTGCACTTCTGAGGCAACTGTAGCATAATCCTTTCGATCTGATGACCTTTTTCTTTTCATTGTAAGTCTTATCTGCGAAGGTTTTGCGGTTTTCCAGGCTGTGAGTCTCCTCTAAACAACATGCACATGGGTCAGTAGTCTTTGTATCAACAGCAACATTAACTGCAAAACTAGCACGCTTTCTTGTACCGTTACTGGCTTTCTTAGTGCTCTTTGTACCAATTTTTTTCTGTTGTGCAGTCCAGTTCAGGTCCCCAAACATCAACTGGGAAAGTACTTTCACTTCTTTGCTTACAAATTCCACCAAATCTTTGAATTGCACTGGTCTACTCTCTACTATGCTGGCTGCTCTTGTTCGCCATTTCTCCCTCATTTTGTAT